ATGTCGGAATCGCTAGCGCGCATGGGACGCGAGGGAGAGATAGGCGCCGGAGGCGCGTGGCCGAGCGCGGTCGAGGCGTCAGACGCCGGAGGCTCGGTGAACTCCAAGACGGGTATCAACGGAGTCGTGGGTGGGGTCGGGTAGATCTCCTCGAGCATGCAAGTTGGCTGAACCGTGTTGGTTGTGGTAGGCGGGGATGGGAAAGCGTCCAGCAGGGACGAGAAAGATACGCTTGAGTCGCTGAAGAGCGAGCTCACGCTGTCCTGAGACCTGCATTGTATGTTAGTCAAGAGCATCAAACATCGACGAGAGATGCACGTACGGTATAGTATGTGGGCTAGAGGGCTCTTCGTGCTTGCAGAGATCCTCCATGGGCTTATCAGCGACGATGGGAGTCGGAGGGGGTGTATCGATGTCGATTTCGACTGTGGGCGCCGCTTTGGGCAGCGAGATATGTAGCCTTGGAGCGAGCGAGGGCGGTGCCGAGATATAGACTGGTATAGGCGGTTGCACCGGCTCTTCGAATGAGCTGCAGACACGGATCAGAACTTGGCCACAAGGGGTATGAGAACGGACAGCTTACAATGATATGGGTCTTGACATCCGCTTGCCGCGCACGACAGTGAACTCCTTCTCGGCGGTCGGACGAAGTTGCGCGTTCGAGGGCAATGCGAGGTCCGCCCTGAGTAGGAACGGCTTGAACTGGGATACCGATTGAGGACGGGTCGCCAGCGTCGGGACTAGGCCGGCGGTCCAAGACGCGTTCGCCTTGTTTGAGCCAGCGTTCTTGCGGCGGGACATGGCGCGGTAGTTGGACACGGTTATCAGGATGATGACGAAGACGACGAGGATAGCGAGGAGAGTGTAGAGGAAGACCGGGGAGAAGAGGCCAGTGGGTGCGGAAGAAGACCGAGTTGAAGTAGGGATGGCAGGCATGGTATTGAGAGTAGGCTGGTGTTGAAAGTGGGTTAGTGTTGTTTGACGCGGGGTTGGCGTTGTTGAGGGCTCGCAGATGATATGCTTCTGGACTGCCCATCTCCCGCTCATAGAGTACGTCTCTTATACGCCCTTCGTCGGAGGGCTGAGACTGTACTCAGTAGCTGGCCTGGAGAAGGGCAAGAACCGGCCCAGTGGTGTCACTGTTGGTCCAAGACTTGTACTCGAATAACGGTTCGCGAAGGACAGAGATCTTCCATCCTGAAGCGCTATCTTGCCGATAAGACGATCGCGATGGGTATCGTTGTGGAGGTAGTTTCGTTGATCATATCGCTAGTTCGAAGGGATGAAGGAGAGGGTAGTCTTCGTTGAACAGTTCGACTTCCCGGCTCCAGAAGCACGCCAGTCCCGTATTGTCGACGGGCAAGACCGTGCATCTCTCCCAGCGCGAGGGGACGTTCTAGAGCGACGTAGATCGTCGCTGTTCCAAGACTCAACGGCCGAGTAGGAGCTGGAGCTTCCTCAAAGTTGACTTGCAGAACGGCTTTGGAGAGTGGGTATGGTACTCCTGCCGACCACCTGCAACGACTACCTTATGGAACGTTGCACGGCGACGTCCACGAAGGCGCCAGTAGGGCGCTTAATGGAACGGGTCGGAAAGCATTGGACGCGCTGGGCTGGTTCTCGCCCGACACTTCCCTCTCTGAGACAGGCGCCGGACAGCTCGGACTCCTCGCTCAATTGGCATGCAGCGCATTGTCAAGGTAGTAGCCGTAGCGCTCGGCGAGCTCGGTCAACTTGGAGTGGGCAAAAGAAGGGCAGGCGACGCTGCGGTCATGATGGTCGGAGGCAACAATAGTTCTTTCTTGCGCTGACGCGCGTTGCAATCCGCATCGCATACAGGACGCCACAAGGCGCATCCTGTCGTCGCCCTTTCCGTTCAAGAAGCCCGAATACCCTCATCTGTCGTACGGAAGCTCTGACCATCATACGACGTATCACAGATTGTTTGATTCGTATTCCATTTTCAAGCAAAAACCGGCCAGTCCTCCCAGGCCGAAACGACGCGTACGTAGAGGATGCGTAGGGTGTAATTGAAAGCGAAACGACGCAAAGACCCAGAAAAAATACAGTGAGGACATGATTAACTACGTATAAGTTGAATAGACAGGAATGAAGATATGGTGCGGTAGAAAAGGGCGTAGCGTTAGCGCGTCGCGGTATCGTGGAGGTGTGTAGGTAGGTGGCATCGTGCGGCGGGGGTGGGGCATATGGCACAGTCTAGTGGGTGATGTAATCCGAGCGAGCAGTCCGAGGCAATGGTAAATAGGGGCAAAGGGGTTCGCAGGAAGTGGGAGGCGGGAGGACCTTTTGGGTGCGCGCAAGTCTACTCTTGCTTGCCCTCCTTGGCCTTGACCTTCAAGACGTCGTTCATGGGGTCCAGCGCAGCATCGGGTTGACGGTACGAGCCGCCCCACTTGTCCGCCCAGGTGAAGTACTGCAAGATAAATCAGCAAATAATCCTCGACATGAAAATGTAAGGCGGAAACGCACTTGGCCATAATTTACAGTAAAGTACAGGTGATGCAGCGTATGATGTGCTGGCCCATTGATCACAGTTTCTAAGGGATGTCCGGTAATCATCTACTCAAAAGTAAGCCTGTAGACACACTAGAAATGTCAACATGGACATACATCGGAGTCATGAATGAGGATCGTCCAGAAGTTGACGAAGACGAAGAGGCCGAGGTACAACCAGCGATGCAGCGGAAGCAAGAAGATGAAGATGTGATACGGCAAGGACTGCACATAGCCGTCAAGTGGGTGGAACGCGTAAGCGGAGTACGGCGTAGGGACTGTGGGAGCAGTCAGTTCAATGTTCGCACGGTTTGAAGCGAAGACTGGACGTACTAAGCCATTTGTGGTGCGGCTTGTGGATGTACTTGTACACTGAAGGATGGTGCTCCAGCCGGTGAATCCAATACACCATGTAGTCGGTAAAGAGCAGGAACCTGAAGTGGCGTGTGAGCGAGAATGGAAGCGAAGCGAACGGAGGAGGCTCGGAAGGACACGTACAAGAGGGAAGAGAACACCAAGTACGTGTAGCCGTATTCTGCCGGGTCGTCATACAACTTCGAATATCCCATGACCTCAGCTTGGAACCAAGGCAGAGTGAGCAGCATCATGAGCGGGAATGCGCGCAATGAGCTCTCGATCTCCAGGCGGACTTGGTTCTTGAGGAAGCGAGGGTGCTTCATCATGTCGTGGTTGAAGATAAAGTAGTACGACAGGCTGGCGAAGATGAAGTAGAGCAGGTGGACGCCGGTGAGGGTAAGACCGGTAAGCGAGATGAGCTGCCGAGGAATGTAGTCTCGAGGCCATGCAGATGCCATGGGTGCGGCGTAGGTTGCGGCGGCAGAGATATTGGAACCCAGCACATCAGACAACGGTGGGTGCGGCAGATATGATACGACGTTCTCCCATTTTGATAGCCCAGACATTGCGAAGGGCAGGGCGCGAGTCGCGTTGGCGCTGAACGCATCTCCGACAAAGGCCGAAGCGGGCACTAAGCGCGCGTAGACGGCGTCGAGAAAGTATTCGTCTGCGAGGTGGAGTACGAGGTCCATGGCCGGGATAGAGTGGCGGTGAAGGAACAAGGAGTTCGGCTACGGACGCCGTTCACTTTTAATGGCGGAGGAAAATGTGGAATCGGACGACACTTGCAACTCTGGCTGCTGCACGTGCTCGGAGCTCGGCGCCGGGCCATCGTGGATCCAGTCTCGCGAGTTGACAGAAAGCGTCTGATTTATTGAGAGTACCGCGAAGGTGCAACGCGCGCAAAGATGTGGACGTTGGTGGTGGTATAGAGACAGAAGGTTGCACCGTGGCGCACTTCACAGACCATTGAATCATGTCTAACTGGAGTCGTGACGCCTTCCTATCCTGGACATGTGGGGATAGGGGTATTCATTCTCGGCTTTACATCCATTCATTCGCCTTTTGTCCCCGTTCCAACTCGATCCGACGCTTTGACCTGCTGAATAATGGGAAGGCCCATCGAGCATAGCACAGCTATCTCAGAGTTCATTGTAGGGCAATGACAGCTACATTGGATGGACGCTTGTGTTGTTCAACAGCGTTGCGGCTGGGAAGCCGTTGACGGACGTTCACAATGCTGAGATCCAGATGCAATGTATCGTCCGGGCTAGAATAATCAGCTCGAAGGCTTCTCTTTATATGCGTAACGCGTGCTCTCGAGCTGGATCAGTGCCGAATCTATGGTACGAGGCCGAAAGCAGCCATCGACGACGACAGTCATCAGGCGACGCCTCGCATCCGCCGTAACCTGGTGCCCTCGTGCTGCTTTGCGCATTCGGACATTCCGGTAGTTCTCGTGCGCAGCTGGCAACAAGGGCCGCTTTCGAGCTTGGGTCTTTTCTTGGGAACAACCGTGCTGGCCGCCCTTTGTCCATCAACCAATCACCGCTCCACAACGCTATGCGTCCCGTTGCTGCGCGCTTGCACACGCCCGAAGCGCGCACGCTGATATAAAAGCATCTGCCTCGCAACGCCTTGCGGTTTCTCCAACCGACTTTCCCCCTCCCTTTGCCTCACCTTCCTTTCTTTCCGGTTCAACGTCAAGGCAGGGCCTTTTCCTCGAGCTTCGGTCTCGTATCTCGTGCTTGCACTTGCTCTCGCTGCCTCCGTCTCGTCCCAGTCCTTCTCTCCCGCCCAACTCGCAGTCTTTGTTTTCGCTTACACGCGCCTTTTCACGCCATGCAACTTACACTTCCCTTCGCGGTCCTTCTCGCGACCATCGTCGCCTTGTACTCTGCGCCCTCCGAGGTTGAGGCTGCGCCCATGAAGCAGATCCGTGCTCCCAACGGTCGCATCACGATGCCGCTCAAGCGCGTCGTGAACCGCCGTACGGACGTGCACCCCCAGGTGGTAAGTAGCTGTGCTCCAATCATTGCAATCGTTCTCGATCTGACAGTTGATCTTTCACAGCTCCTGCAGCAGAAGATCAACCACGCGCAGCGTCGCTACGCGCGCCTCACGGGCCGCGCGGAGCCCGAGCCGGCTGAGCTCAAGCGCGCACTCCAGAAGCGCGTCGACTCGCTCGAGAAGCGCGGCATCCAGGCTCGCGGCCTTCGCATGGGCCACGCCGCCGCTGGCATGAGCTCCCCGACGAGCAGCGCCGACACCGTCTCTAACAAGGCGTCGTCGTCTTCGTCCAGCTCGGACACTGCCCTCACTCTTGGCGAGATCATCTCTGCCATCACTGGGTCAGTTCGATCTGTCCGTCTTTTGCATCGCCTTGACTGACAGACCTTGATGCATAGCTCTTCCAACGCTAAGGCTGGCAATGGTAACGCCAAGGCCAACAAGAAGGGCAAAGGCAAGGGCGCTGCTGCGGGTGCGGGTGCCGCCGCTGGTGCTGGTGCCGCTGCCGCCGCCGCCGGTGCCGACCTCGGTGGCCAGCCGTTCTCCGAGACGGACTTCCAGGCCGCCCAGGACGACACCGTGTCGACCGCTAGCGACCCGACGGCTGACAACTCGCTTGGTCTCGACATTGAGGCCAACGACGTCACCTACCTCGGCACCGTCCAGATGGGCACTCCCCCGCAGGACTTCACGGTCATCATGGACACTGGCTCTGCCGACTTCTGGGTTGGCTCGGAGAACTGCGTTACCATTAGCGCACAAGGCCAGTCGACTGGCCAGGACTGCGTACGTCTCTTCTGCTTCCATACTTGACGCGCAGTATGCTGACGATGCCCTTGATTATCTTTCACTTCTATTCTTGGCACCCGTATGGCATTCCGTCACACGCTCTTCTCTTCCCTCCGATTTCACCGACTGTTCGTCGCTATGCAACGACGTGTAGGGTCAGCACACGTTCCTCGGCTCCAACGGATCCTCGTCGTTCGTCGACACGCAGAAGCAGTTCCAGGTCACGTACGGCTCCGGTGCCGTCGTTGGCGACATCGTCCAGGATGACCTCACCATGGCTGGCTTGAGCATCAAGGGCCACACCCTCGGTGTTGCGCTCGGCGAGACCATCCAGTTCTCTGGTGACGCCAATGCCGACGGCCTCATGGGTCTTGCGCAAGGCGTACGTAAACAATGCTCGAACCGAGATATGCTCGACTAACCACCGCTTTGCAGACTCTTTCCAACGAGGGTGTTCCTACGCCTCCTGAGGCGCTCGCCAAGGCTGGTCTCATCGACAGCACGGTCGTTTCCGTTAAGCTCGCCCGCCTCGACGATGGCAACAACGACGGCGAGATCACCTTCGGTGGTCTCGACGACACCAAGTTCGACGCGAACTCGCTTGTCACGGTCAAGAACGTCAACACCCAGGGCTTCTGGGAGGCTGACATGGACGACATCTCCGTCGACGGTACCTCCGTTGGTCTCCAGGGCCGCACTGCCATCCTCGACACCGGAACCACCCTCATCATCGCTCCCCAGTCGGACGCTGACACGCTCATGGCCGCCATCCCCGGCGCCAAGTCCGACGGCCAGGGTGGTTACACTGTTCCTTGCACGACGAATGTCTCAGTCGCCATGTCCTTCGGCGGCACGAACTTCGCCATCGACTCGCGCGACCTCGCCTTCCTCCCGGTCAGCAACGATCTTTCGGGTGACTGCACTGCCGGTGTTTCCGCTGGTCAGATCGGCGGTGCCACCGAGTGGCTAGTCGGCGACGTCTTCCTCAAGAACGTGTATGCCAGCTTCGACACGGACAACAACCAGATCCAGCTCGCCAACCTCGCCGGTGCCTCCGCTGCCGCCTCGTCGGGCTCTGCCGCCGCAACCGCAACGGCTGCTGCGACGGACTCGGCTGCCGCAACGGACTCCGCCGCCGCTGCAACTGCCACCGCTACCGCCGCCGCCACCACCAAGACCAAGGCCGCCGCGACCGCCTCTGCATAGGCTCTAACATTGACATCCACACTCATTGGGCTCCTGGGACCGCCATCGGAGCGCGCACCTTTTACTTACCCTTAGCACTTGTACACCCGCACCTTTGCCGGTCGCTTTTTGCTGTCCTTGCGTTAACTGCTTTGAATCCCAGTCGGTTTGCTTTACTCATCGCATGAAGTGGCGCCTCGTCGCTGGTCGACGGAGTGTCTACGCTCGGACTTGAGGCTAGAGAGGGTTGTCGGACCTTTCGCGTGTACAATACGCTGTAGGAATACAGATTCATGGATTTCTCTGGAATAAGCACGTTGGATTGCGCAGTGCTTCTAGCCGTCGCTGTGAGAGACCGGAAGTGCTAAAGAAAGAAATGCTTTATGCATACCAAAGATAGCATTCTACGTTAGCGACGATGATGTCCGCATGAGTAAGTGTGGTGCGATACAGATACGTGGTCCGTGATACAAGTAATTGTCAACGCTGTCATTGTCCAGACGCCTTCCCTCCGCTCAGACTGCGAGCTTTTCGTTAGTGTCAATTCCGGGAAGGGATCCCAACTCCGAGGAATGCGCGTGCTCGTGCACGCTACCCCTACTGACGTGGCGTCTATCGACAAGGGTCGGGCTGAAACGCCGCGGCGTGTTCTCAGTCAGCGTCGCAGAGACGATGCTGCGGTCTAACACGGAGCGACGAGATGCAACGAGGACGACCACCAGAGTAGGATACATCGCCTGTATGCTGATAATCAATAGCAGCTATGTGGACCTATTCTGAGCACGTACGATGAGCGGTGCACTATAGAACCTGCATGTATACACCAAGAGCGAGCTTGAAGACCCGAAATACGTGATAGCGCCGTACCACGTCTGCTCGTTCACTTTTAGCCTGCACGCACCGCCTCCGGGTAGCTGGATCTCACCAGCAAGACCACATAGATGACTCCCGACTCGATGATGATAGCCAGTGCACCAAAAGTACGTCGTCGGCTAGAACCATCCATGAACTCGCGAACGACCTGCCAGTGTATCCTGTTCAAATCATGAGCGAGAGTGACGGTCAACAGAGCTGTAGAGCCGTACCAGGCCTTGTATGCTATGAAGGCGGTGGAGCTCAATTGAGCTATGCCAGTCAAAGCATACCCCAAGAACGTTAGGGGCGTCCTCGCGTCTCCGAGCGCCTTCGCGGAACCAGTCAAAGAGCCCGCGGGCGATAAGTACTGCGCTGAAGAGCTTGCAAAAATTAGGACGTATACCACTGAGATTGGATGTAAGCGGTCTCCTGTACTCGTTTCTGATGCGTGGCAGGCGCACCGCTCTCCACAAACGCAGTGAAGCTCGCAAGCGCGAGGAGCCATTTTGGCCGCCCGAAGATGGTGTAAGCCCTCCATAATGATACGAAGTCGCCGAGTAGGATCTACATAGCATCTGAAGGCGAATGCGTATGAGGAGCAGAGAGAACTCACCAGTATCAACTGCACGATGTACTGTGCATACACAGGCGCGAAGTACTGCATCAAAAGCCCGTCCTGATTGATCCAAGATGCTCCTTTCCAATGAACATCTGTGCTCAGATGGAAATCGGCGCTCCCCGACATGTGTAGGAAGAACGAATGGAACTCTGCCCAGAGGAAGTACACGTCAAGAATCCAATACGCCGAGAATATCCCGAACATGAGCAGAGTATAGAGCAAGACGGCGGTCGGTAGTGTTCTTGTTCTACGATTCAAACTTCGCCCAGATCAGCTTATGAACCTGCGCGACCCTATCGCCCGGACTTACCACAGGCTCAAGACAAGATATAGAACGAGGGCAATGTATACGACTGGGGTATACCAGCTTCGTGAGTCGAAGACTATATTCAGGTCGTAGCACATACTGTACAGCGAGGTTTCGAGCATGAGCGAGAAGGCGTGGTTCTCGATGATCCTCAGAGATGAAGCAGACTGGTCCGGTCGAGCAGATTCCTCCATGTCGCCAGAATAATGCGACGGGGATAGTAAGAGATTGACATAGGTGCACATGCAATAGACATGACTTCATATATGTGAGCCTTGTGGGCAATGCGATCCGCAACACAGTGGCGACGCAGGCAACGAACGGATGTTCGCTCCCAATGGATACCGGTGGTCCTTCGGGTATCGCCACCCAGTTGCAAGTTGACGTGCCCTGAAAGCCCTGCTTCCTGCTTGGTCTGGCGTTCTGCGTTGACCTACGGGTGATCTACTCGTCCTCTACCGCACAGGAATGGCATTGTGCACGTTCAGCATCTGACACGGCGATGTGCAATGCTGCCGTCGCGAGGTCAGCGCTCGAAGCGGGATCACGAGTCAATCGTAGACCTGTGCCGAAGCACGTTCTGTCGAATCACGAATCGCGCGGGGAGCACCGTCTCCAAACTTCATGCAGTACGTTCTGAACCAGCCTATAGTAACTTGTCGTGATCGGAGTCATGGGCTCCAGTGCAATGCGATGGTCGTGACAACCGCTGATAAGGAAGATATCGTGCCGTCGCGGGTTATACGTTTTTGCAAGGCGACGATGCTAATGTAAGAGGGGTTGGATTGTGTGCCAACTGGTCATGATGGAGGTTGGACGGAGGTAGGAAACGAAGTGCCGTCACATTCGTGCCCCGCGAGCCCGAGCTTATTTGCCCGGCTCGGGCCTTACGGGCCGACTGGTAATGAGCCCGGGTCACAGCTGGGCGTCCAGTACGAAGAGTACGGATGCAGCGCTATGACGCACCGTGAAGATCGGTTGCATACAGCAAAATACATCGAGTAGACCTGCTACACATTCTAGATACAGATCCTCGATGAGGCTTGAGTATTCGTACATAGGTAAGCATCGAATAACGACCGCATGCTTTGGCGGTGAGCTGAGCACATGTAGAGTTGATGTAGAGTGTTCATTCAGCTATATACGGCCTCAGGGCATCTCGGAAGGGCTACTACTCTGGGAGGAAGTGGGATCTGAGGCTGGTTCACTGTGGTACCTGTCTTATCATCAGAAGTCATCAGCGACTCGTAGTCCTTAGATGCAGAGACTACGCTCATGCTTTCCGGGTCCTTGCTGAATGTGAGGTATATCCATTGCGTCTGATATGGTGTTCCGTTGGAGCCACGGGGAGGCTTGTAGGGGGCACCGCGCGTTTCATCAATGTTCGTCGCGGATTTCCTGGAGCGTCGCTCTTGCATGGAACGGCGAGAGCCCACGATGGCAATGACAAGGGTCGGGTACATAGCCTACACAGACGTCAATACGCGTAGCGTGACTGAGTGCGGGTAAACCATACAATGAGCGGGACACAATAGTATCTGGCCGTCCATCGCGCGAGTGAATCAGACGCCCCCCAGAACTCGATAGACCCATACCAAACCTGGACCTTGGGTTTCAGCATACAGGGCGATATGATATACATATGAAGTTACCAGAAGAGCTAGGTATACAATCCCTGATTCGATTATACTGGCAAGAGCCCTGAGGCCGGGGCTTGACACAGATCTGTGGACAGACCCACGAACGTCCCTCCAATATACCCTGACAGTATTGTCTCGCATTCAGTAAGGAGAGTAGGGAATACTCTAGATTGGCGCACCAAGCCTTGAATGCTATCAAAACCGTAGCAGAGGCCTGCGATAGACCCGTGATTGAGTACCCAAGGAAGGTGAACAATGTTCTCGCTTCAGCTAATGTATCAACAAAGCCATGAATGGATACTGCCAGGTATGTCGCCGAGGAGCTGATGACTAAGAGGAGATAACCACCTGAGAGGATGATCGGTAAGTCACAGCCGAGCCGACTCGGGGGAGATATGCACCGCTTTCGGCTATCGCGACACCTAGTAAGGCTTTGTAGAGCCATCGCGGCCTCTCGAAGATGACGTATGCCC